CTTTGCCCTTTAGCTACAAAGAAAATGCTTCAATACAAAAGAAAACATGAGATGTTGCACAAGATAGAAGAATTATTTTGTTGACAGAACAGGAAGCTTGCAGCAGCACCAAGTAAGGCCCTGAGTGTTGTCAACTTAATGATTTATTCTTCTGTACAAAGTGCATGAAATGCACCAGTTTGTTACAGTTTGTGTCTAATTAGTGCAAATGCAAGATCTAATACAAGTTGGTGAGTCAGCTGTTGTTTGCTCCAGTAGCTACCCGGATGGGTAACTGACAGACTGGCCGACTGTTCTTGTGGTACGATTGACTCTGCTAACGCTCTCTTTTTTTTCTTCTTTTTGTATATGATTTTTTTGTTCGTTTTGTTATAGATGTGTCAGCAGAAAGTAAAAGCTGTCAGAACTCAGGGTAAGGCGCAGCAGCATCTGGATCTGCTTTAGTCGCATTTCCATGGTCCCTCCTCAACAAGAGAGAACTCTGCAGTCTTGCCATTTTTGCCCATGGTGACCTGTAAGCAATTATCAACAACGTCTAACTATGAGGCCAAGGCACCATCATTTACAAACCGTCAGCGGTTGGGAGCAGAGAAACCATTGCTTCATTATATTCAGGCCATTGACCTTGGGGTGGAGTTAATGTGTTAATCCCCAGCACTGAAATACATGTCATCTCTTACAATGATACAATAACACAGTGATGTCAGTGTTTTTGTCATTTACAAGATTATATGAAAACCAGGATAATTATAGTTTTTCAGAGTTGGCCATGTATTTTATGGATTCTCTGCCCAACCGAATTACAATACTGAAACAATCAGAATGCAACTTTAGCATAAAAAAGTTGCATTACACAGACAATGAAATCAACAAAATTCTACAGCATGAAAGAAATTCTCTAAAAATAACAAAAATTTTGCTCTTGTTTATTTAGAGCGCTAACTACAATATTAAAAGGAAAGGATCTTTGATAGGCATTTCATGCATCACTTTGGATTAAACATGGTGAAACAGCAGTCTTTATGTATACCACTGGCTAGATTATTTTTATTTTTTTCCAAAAGATGGCCAGTGACTGTAATTTGGGAAGGGCTGCCACAAATACATGTCCAATTAAGTAGACAAAAAATAACAGTTTCTCAGTAAAATCTAGACATACCACAATAAAATACAAGTCAAATATAATTGTCTACCAGACAACACATTTGGAATGGTTGTAAGAATTAACATCCATTTACTTTCATTTGGATTTCATGTGAGTTAAACATAGTTTTTTAGGATAAAAAAAAAAACAAAGTATATTATAAAAAAGAACAAACTTTGCTTTTGATGAACCTGGTATCACAAAAACTGCTTTTTCATATGATTAACAGGTGAATAAATAAATATAGAAATATTTATTTAGCTTTTTCACCCCTTTAAAAAAAAAAACATTTTCTTCAATGAAAATATGACATTTACTATCCACATAGACACAAATACACTAATTTAAGAAGTCACATAGAAAAGAAACACAAACACAGACCAGAAAAGAAAGACGAACACAGACACAAAGCTGGGGAGGATTCTCTACATACAAGTCTCTATGTCCGTTAACGTGAAATGTACCTTGCAGTCGTCTATCAAGATTGAGTTGTGGTGAGAGTATACATTCTGGTTGGTGTTATTTTCAAAGAAGGATTGAGTCTTTGCCATCTCAAAGTCCTCCATCCGGGCCTGTTGGGAGTCGAAGGAGTCCAGCTCGTGTTTGGAAAGGTGGTACACGATACCTGCTCCATAGGAGTCCCCAACCACATTAACTGATGTGCGGAAACGATCCCTGCATGTTGAAAAGGAAAGTGGCATACAAGATACAGGAAAGTAATTAATGACAAAAGGAGAGAACAATAGGGACCAAGCAAAAGTCTTTTCTTTTGTTTCTCTTTGGAATTGTTTTTTTTTTCATTTAGATTTTAAGTTGTGAGTTACAGAAAATACAAAGAACTGTTTTTTGGTTTTCACCAAAAGCAAAAGCACAATTTAGAGAAGAGAATTTCACTGATTCAGCAGCAATACACAGTAGAATAAGTAGGACAAAGAATAGGATTGCCATGTTATGTGAATATGTTATTCACGGTTAATTAATTTGTTAAAATGTATAAAAGGCTTTCCACCTTTTATATGAATCATTTAGCCCAAGGGTTAACAAGACCACAAGCAGCTTATTCCCAGCTGAGTAATGTCAGTATTGTTGCCAACAGAGCAAAAAAATAAAAAAAGCGCCTGCAGTTTCTGTCTTTTTGCAAATGGATTATACAGTATACTGTTGTTATGTTACTTATGTTTCTGAACTCTGAGATGTCAGTGAGTGGGCACAGCAAAACTCTACATTACAGAAAAGTTATCCAAGCCTGACAGCCAGAGTTGTTTACACCCCTGAAACATATGTTAGAGAACATGCTCAATGCTCACTCTGTAATGAGAAAAACTAGCAAAAACCTGTTCATTCAAATTAAAGTCAAGCATCTGCTTTGATTTGGCCACTACTGTGGTTTAGTACTACACTGTAAAAAATAAATGACATGTCTGTGTATACATGTGCTGCTCTGGCAAGAAAATATGCTGAAAATTACCAACAAACAGAAAATTAAATATATATATGTTTCATTAAAAAGTGAAAGGATGTTATTATGTTACAGAAGATGTTGGGTTGAATTTGAATTCCATTTAAATCGTTAAGAGTGTAATTTGAAAATTCAGTGCGAGAAGCTACCATGAATAACTGGGGGTATGGTAAAAACACTGGATACACAATCTTAACATTAGCTTGTAAAGTTGTACATTAAAAGTAGCACAGAAGTAAATTATCAAAAACATATATAGCACTTTGGAATTCACCATTATGTAAAAATTATATCTT